GAAGAACATCAATGTGTCATCTATTGTTCTGGCTAGTTTATCGTTTATAATTATTTATACGCACGGAAAAAAAACTAAAACACTTGATAGTTGGTTTAGACTCCAAAGAGAATACTGCTCGTGAAATATGCCAAGGAAAGTCAATGTTTTATTTATCTTCAATGCTATAGCGATCGCCATTACGCCCTGGTCTTATATATTATTCTCGTTTATTCGGAGGATAGTCAGTTTTTTATTTATCGCTATTGTGTCTTCTGGCGACGCTAGTTTATCATTAGGAACTAAAGAGTCGACTTGCCTTAATCTGATATTATTAACAGTTGTGTCAATATCTTTCGACAAAGGCTTTTTGTCATCTTTAGATACATGTGTTGTAGTTGTTCCTCCATGTTGCCAGTTGTCTTTGGGCTTGTTTGCTTGCACTATAAAAGGCATACGAAGGAGCATATTTTTATCTAAGTTTAGCATGTCCTTTTACGGATCGTATTCTAGAGACATATCGGTTTTTACATATCGGATTTTCTGAAGTACAATTGTGAACTTGAGTTTAGTATGTGTTACAGGCTATCAGCCTTCACAGCTACGCGAAGATATATTCTTTTCTTTTCTAGTGATATTGCCTTTTTCATTTAGTTCGTTTTATCATACATCTATACATACATGTGACCATACATATACACATACGTATGAATTTCTCTTTTCTTCTCTTTTATTCATTCTAATCATTCACCCTTTTATTTAGTTGATACAGATAAATATATAGACGAACATTGTCATCGTTCGAGGAGTTCTTTTTCCTTTCGTTGTTTTATTTCTGTTTTTTTAAATAAACTCCAAATGATTTATTTCGAACTTCGCACTATCCCCTAATATTTGATGCCGTGACTGAATTGTTATTATATTCTTTTATAATACAAACGAACCAGACAGTTTTTTTTTAAAAAATAAAAGAGGAAAAAGGGGATAGTTGCTGTCATTACAAGTAGCAAGACGGGGTAAGTCCATTAACTATTCGTTAGGATAAGTCATTCACACTGAGAGGATGTTCCCAGTAGGGAATTACCTGAGTGTCATCGTCGTATAATTAAGAGGAAGTTCCCATTAGGGAACTCGCCTGAACCACTCTCGCCGACGGTTCTCGTACACCAGAAGGTCTATTATCGTCTAGTTTCGTCAATCGGTGACTCGTGTTACACTATCACTCGTACAACATATAAAACGGCGCACGGTTTAAGAAGCAACAAAATCAATCAGTTATTGTCAGGTGATCCGCTAACAAAAACATCAGAACGAACGGTTAAACAAACAACTCCAATATCTAACATAGCTCAGCCCAAGCTCAGTCCATCATCAAATTCATCCACAAGTATAACCACGACGCTGTCTATACTAATCCATCCACTTCCTACGATGTCAACCGCTGCGCAAGAGTCAGCAATGATGGTCTGTTATAGAGAAAGCTTACAAAATTTGGGAAAATTTACCGGAGAAGAAAACAAAAAAATTTCTCAATTTATAAACAATATTGAAAGAATTGGGAAAATGATTGGAGCGAAAGACGAAGTTTTATATTGCATGTGTACAGCAAAATTAAATGGGGAAGCACAACGTTGGTATGAAGCTAATACATCATTAACCGAATGGAATGATTTAAAAGAAGCATTGTTCGAACGATTTGAACACACAGAATCCTTATCAAAAATATTTGAACAATTGAAAGAACGAAAACAGCAATCAGATGAAACAATCACGTCATATTACGACGCCATTATTAAATTATGTCGTGAATATGATCCATCAATGTCTCAACGAATGATGATATCGTGGATAGAAAACGGTGTCAAAGATTCATTAAAAATTCAAATAAAACGTCAAATGAAAGCATTCACGGAATCAGTAAGAACAATTCAGGCATTTTTTAAAATTGCCAAAGACGAACAAGAACTACAACAAGAAAACTTTTCCGAACTTCAACCGACACAATCTTATTTACCGTACTTCAATAATACAGTATCGACAACATTACCACGAACCACAAATCAGTTTCAAAATCCACCTCCGCAAACATATACCAATTCTCAACCGAGTAATCTATCCTATCGACCGAATCCTCCGTACGTTCGATTGCAAAATCCACCTAATCTGCAAACATCGCTAGCGAAACCCTATAACCCGGTGAACTCACAACGCTCTCCGATAGTATGACCCCGATCTTCATTTTCATTTAATAATATACGACAACCACAACGCACAAATGATCCATCATCCGACACACTGCATCAACATACACGTCAGTATAATTCTTGCTCCATCTGTCACCGAATCAACCATCGCACAATTGATTGCTATTACAAAAAATCGAATGGATGTTACAATTGTGGACATTCTGGCCATCGAGTGCGCGATTGTCCACAGGTTTTTCACTAACTGGAACCTGTGATGGTGGCCATTCCAGTATACAAAATCCATCAATAACATCCCACAAATCATCGAGTCCCATTTACATCAAAGTCCAAGTAAATCAAACACCCCAACATGCTATAATCGATACGGGATCCGCGGTCAGCATCATCCACCAACAATTATTGAAGAAGATTCATCATAAGAAATTTATTTACAAACGCAAAATCCATGCATCGGCCAGTTGCACATCTGTCAATATTATCGGCGAAATTCATCTTGAGATCAAAATACAGGGACACAAAACATGGATAGTCGCCGATGTTGCGACAAATCTCGTTACAGATTTATTACTTGGGACTGATTGGATAAAACAAAACAGCGTTATTATTGATTCTCCACAACAACGTGTTATTCTAGTCAACAAATATCACAAGGTAATAGCATATACACCGTTCGTCGAACCTCCCGATATTCGTTTTCCTGTATTTTTAATTGATCAAATTACCCTTCCACCATACTCAGAACAATGTATTGATGTAAAAGTCCCGTCGCTTTTCGGTAATGTTAGCAATGTTATGTTCGAATCAACACCTCACTTATACTCCAAATCAATATTCGCGGCGAATGCATTGATTAAGGCTGAGCATCACAAAACACGGATTATAGTCATTAACGCCTCTGATCGTCAACGTACATTATCCAAACATACGCGATTAGGTGCAATATCATATCAACCGGAATCCAATGTCTGTCTCACGATACCAATGACATCGAATAAGAGGAACGTCCGACTATCGGACCGATCCTGTGTTCAGTCATCACTCACCCACGGGACGAATGACCATAATTCAATGAGTCGTTCCTGGGACTTGCCACTCTCAGCGGACAGCAAAATCCGTTCGGCGGATTCTTCCTGCACGGTACAACCAGTCGATTGCCGTAAGCATCGATGTTATGTTTGTCAAGCAAAATTTTTATCCAGCAATGATTTACAGAAACACCTTCGTCAACAATGTTTTCCATCAGAGATCCGTGAGCAGATTGAGAAGTTGACATAACATATCGAGAACCCGAAACAAGTACAACAAAGTCTATGGCGACACGGACAATTATTTGACCTGCGTCAACCCTCTATAATTAAAACAACGGTTCGTCATGCTATCGAAACAGGAAATCATCCACCCGTATATACTCCAGCATATCGCGTCTCATATAAAGATGAGCAAATACAACGTGATGAAATTAATAAATTGTTAAAACAAGGAATAATCGAAGAATCCACCTCTCCATGGTCATCACCTATTGTTCTCGTTCGAAAGAAGGATGGATCTATGCGATTTTGTATCGATTTTCGAAAGCTCAACAGTATAACCACAAAAGATGCATTCCCAATTCCTCGAATTGATGATATTTTCGATCATTTAGCACAAGCTGAATATTATACCACGATTGACTTCAAGTCAGGTTATTTTCAAGCTGGACTTGATCCGAGAGATCGTCCCAAAACAGCATTCTCCACTCGAGATCAACATCTTCAATTTACCGTATTACCTCGAGGCGTTACAAATGGACCGCCAGCATTCCAACGAATAGTTAGTCAAATACTAGGACCTACACGTTGGCAATATTCCTTAGCATATCTAGACGATGTGATTATATACTCACAAACATTCGAACAGCATTTAGTACATCTCAATGATATATTAAATCGCCTAAATCAAGCGTATTTTCGACTAAATGTCGATAAATGTCATATAGCCAAGACGACTATCAACTTCCTCGGACATTGCGTTGAACACGGTAATATCCGGCCTAATTCTGATAACATCCGTGCATTATTAGAAACTCCGCTTCCCAGAACAGCGAAGGAAACCTTTCGATTCGTAAAGGCAGCTGAATACTACCGCAAATTTATACCCGGATTCACGAAGATAGCTCAACCATTACATAAATTCGCACCGACCACGAAAGAACAACGATGTAAAAAGTCAAAATCTTTACCCGTCACTTTATCCGATGACGAACTCAACGCA